CTGCTTGGCAGGGGAGGAGGTGAAAAGGACTCCCAAGAACCTTCTACTTGCCTGTCTCCATCCCTATTCCCTGTTTCCCTCTCCATGGCTGGGACTGCCTCTTCCCCAGGCAGGAGGCAGCAAGCTGGGCCAGGCAGCGGCCATCCCTCTCCAGCACTGAAGCCCTGAGCCAGCCTCGCAGGTGGCACCTGCGAAAGCTCCTCTGCAGCTGAGCGGGGGCCCTGCTTTGCCAATACCTAAAGCCTGCTCAGGGAGATGCAGTAGGAGTTGGCATCACTCCAGTTATTGCTGTGAATAAGAAAGATTTAGGCAGTTGCTTCACTGAAACAAAAAAACACTCCTTGTGGGTTCCTACTTGTCTACTTTGATAACTGAAGGATGGTTACAAATCAGCCTACTTTTATATCTTGTTTTACGAGAGAGGAACTGAATTCTACGAAGACTTGGCACCAGATTTTTGTTAGAAAATCTCCAGTGTGGAGCTTTTTGCCTGAGGAATTTGACTCTTGGCTAGCCACTGGAGAAGTTACTTGAGCTCTTTTAACCACCTGGCCCTGTCTGCAGACACCAAGTGCTCCCAAAGGCGACCCGTGCAAGCTCCCCAGAAGCCAGCACAAGGGCTGGGACCTCGGCTCAGCCCACCGAGGTACATAAATAGCTGCTTTATTTATTTACTTACTTTTTCTCCCCCTTTCGACAGTGGGCATTCATTGCACGGCTCTGTGCACCTCCTCTCTGCAGCAGCCTGATCCTGGAGACTAGAGCCAGAGTAGCACCTAATCATCTCATCTTCCTTGTCAGTGCCGATGGTGAAGTTATCCCTCCGGATAATATCGTCCTGGTGCGGGAAGCTGATATTCAGTAACCTTCGACATCTCAGACCATGCATTGGTGTTTCTGATCGCATTGTAAATGGTCTGTTGCATCTCTTGCTCGCTACTGATAACTCGGAAAGAATAAAACAAGATCTTGTCACAGATGTCTCAATTTTGTAGCATTTGTGACACCTTGCAATCATAATAAGTTGGTGGGTTTTTTTTATCTGTGAGTATTTTGCAGGAGTAATTACATTTCACTGCCAGCAGCAACGTATGTAGTTACCAAGTGGAATTCAGCCCTATTCCTATTGATTCAGTAGGATTTGTTCACATCACTGTCAGACTTGGAAAGCACAGGCAGTTTAGTTTTCTGTGCTTATATCCATTAGACATCACTTGGCCCTGTGAATTCGGGGCCAAATTAGTTAAAGCGCATGCAGACATTTTCTTTTGTGCAGCTTAATAACTTCACGTCATTGCCTTGAAAAATGTTACTGTAACAGTTCACCTGCTAGAGAAAAATATATTAGGACCTGTACTCTATCTATAAGCAAGTTCTAAAGGTCGTGTTTTTCAGACAAAGCAGATTATTTCAATATACAGGCTTTTGTAATCTTTGTAAGACTATGGTATTTCAAAACAGCAGAAACTCATGCACCCTACTTATTACTTTCCACCACTCTTACTACTCCTTATGTGTTGCAATACTACTCCATGCCAATACAGCAGGCTCAAAGGAGCCAAGACTGTCGAGGAAAAGTTCAGTTTTAAGAATCCGGGACTTGTGAGAAGAGGCACTTGCTGGAATTATAGCATTTAGTGCATCATTATCATTCAGAGCATTTAGCTAATGCCTCATTATTTTAGTCGTTTATTAAATTTGAAAATCAAATATCAAACTGATTGTAGTGTCTGCCACCCAACAGGTGTATGATTAGATTGTGGAAGGGCACCCACCAGGAGCTGCAGCAAAAGCCCGTATTTTTATGGCAAGAGTGCCATCGTGTGGGAAGCCTCTGCAGCACGCAAGTACGCACGCTTGCAAGAAACCGCCCTT